GTTCTCCACCAGCACCTCCATCGAAGCAATCATTTCAGGAGTCAAAAGAACCGGCACTTTCCGACTTCTTTTCCCTTTAATTTCAATGCGTTGAAAATGCTGACACAGCTTTTTCTCAAGTTGGGACAGTCCCAGAGCAATGTCAGAATGGATCCCAGTCTTACTTCTTAAGGTAAAGGCTGTCAGTGGCATCTTTGAAACCTCACCTTCCCTTCTTCGATTGAAAATGATGACCTCACAAAGAGTCAAAACTGCCAGTTTAGACCAATGCTTAGACGTTGGCTCACTTATTAGGGTTTGCACATATTCAGGTCGACATACCTCAATATGTGCATGCATGGCTCTAACGTCCTCAGTCAGAGGGAGCAGGTCCGGAGTGTTCCACTTGGCTTGCCGGAGGGTCTGTAGGGCAGCAGAAGAAACACAGACGTCCCACCTCTTCTCAAAAAGCAGCCGGCTTCGTTGGAGGTTTTTAATAAATAGTTCATCAACACAATGCTCCATTTTTGAGTCACATTCAAGAATATCTGCTAGCTTTCTGAGGCTATGGCCGAGTTTGAGGGCCAAGGATGGAGTCTTGTATTGATTTGTTTCCTCATCATATCCAGCCACAGACCTGACTGCATCAATCACATGGTTAAAGTTGGAAGGAATAAAGAAATCCTTAATTGTTTTCAGTTTCCCTGCGGTTTTTGCTTCGTTAATTAACCTACCGACTTCTCTCATTTTCTGCCTAATGTAATCATGCTTAGTCTTATCATGCCCGTGTTTTAAGTACAGGTGCTCTCCGAGTCTCAGAATCCCCTTTTCTGCTTTGACAACACCCGTGACCTCATCCTGATGCATTGCCGAAATTAAAGACCACAGCTTTTTGCTGATGCCCTCCGGTACAGGCTGGGCTAGGGAGCAGAGGGACTGGACCCTACTTCTACCTGGTTTAGCCTGGGCATCTTTCTGTGAAAGCCGGCACCTGGCCACATGCCTCCACAGCGACTTTCGCTTAAGCAATGCCCCACAGTCTATACAGTGCAAAAACTCACTGGATTTAACTGGGGAATTTGGCTGTTTAGCTGGGACTAAAGTTCCAATGCCGGCCTTTAAAACCTCAAAATTGTGCTCACGGTTTCCACTATTCCTGATCAAATCAAACTGAAGTTTACGTGCTTTAGATTTCACAGGTAGAGCCAATGCTCTGGCTACGTCACTTTCATTTCCATGTTTTCTAGTCAAATGACGGGACATTTTGTGGAAGGACATTGAACAGTAGAGGCAGAAGTGTCTCTTGCTGTAAACTCGCCCCCCATTTTTCTTCTTTTGCAGCTGCATGATAACAATCTTATTTGCCTTTGGTTCGTCACTTTCCGAGTCTTGAAGAAAAGTGTTTTTGATTTTTCTTTTTCCATACTTTTTTACAGGTTTCTTCTTGACAGTTAAATCGTCAGAATCTGAGTCGACTTCATCAATTAGGGACTCTTGACTAAGCTGCACAAACAACAAATAATTTGTAATCATTCTATATAACAATTTGAAGTCATGACTTGTAGTCAGCACTTACCAGTGGTTTGTAAGCGTGCGCTTCAGTGTGCTCCTCCATGATTTCTTGCAGCCTAATGAACCACACACTTGCACCTTTTTCTAGCCTGACACCTGATTTCCTCTGTTGTGCTGCTCCATGATTGGCTCCAGCCTGCTGGACTGAAATTGCCCCAGTGTGCCCCTCCTTGATATCCCGCAACCCACCACCAGGGTTCCGACACATAACACACTTTTTTCAGGAAAGTAAACCTCCAGGGGTCCTTTCCATATTTTTACAGAGACTGCATAAGGACCGTTAGAAAAGCATTACCCATTGATTATTAAGCTTGGACCAGTGGGGTCCGGTGTTCGGGCCCCACCACGTAAAACCAGTCCCCATGACGTGAGTGGAATCTCAGGTTATGGAACCCACCAGGAGTTGAAAACAAGTGCACACGAACACACACACACACACACACACACACACACACACACACACACACACACACACACACACACACACACACACACACACACACACACACACACACACAACACACACACACGCACGCACACGCACGCACACAGTAATCACAGTTTAAGCGTCTACCTTTCGGCCAATCAGTGTCAGAGGAGGCGTAGGCTTGATCACATGCATTGGTTTAATGTTGACAAGCCCCAGCGTGGGCCGTGCACCATCACAGCAGAAGTTTGGTAAAGTAGTGTCATATTCCCAGATTCGGACTTCCGAGGTCAATAGCTCACGAAAGCTACTTTGTTAAAAAAAAAAGTAATTGTGCTAAAATGATCTCTAAGTTGATTTATCACCGCTGTAAGCGCCGAGAAAATCGCTTAGGGACCGTCAACAAATGTCCAGACCAGCTTTGTAAACAAACAATAGCTTTTACTGAAGCCGTGTACACTAAACTCTCAGACAATATAAATAATGACCATGTCTAACTGCTACAGACTTTGATTTCAACATTTGTGAGGGTTTTTATGAATACATGTGTTTTTCTTTTTTTATTTGCTTTTACAGTAAATGTCTTTACTGTAACATACATAAATAATATAAATCTGAGATGCTGCCTCCCCATGTTTAGTCCAGACTGTGGGACCAGCATGTGGCCAGTCCCTGTGCTCCTCAGAGTCCCAGCAGGAGGCCAGTCCCTGTGCTCCTCAGAGTCCCAGCAGGAGGCCAGTCCCTGTGCTCCTCAGAGTCCCAGCAGGAGGCCAGTCCCTGTGCTCCTCAGAGTCCCAGCAGGAGGCCAGTCCCTGTGCTCCCCAGAGTCCCAGCAGGAGGCCAGTCCCTGTGCTCCTCAGAGTCCCAGCAGGAGGCCAGTCCCTGTGCTCCTCAGAGTCCCAGCAGGAGGCCAGTCCCTGTGCTCCCCAGAGTCCCAGCAGGAGGCCAGTCCCTGTGCTCCTCAGAGTCTGCTTTAAAGTCTTGTCTCTTCGCCACAGAAGCCAAAGCCGATTTCTGGATCATTGACTTGAATATTGCTCACATTTGTTGTTTGTGTGAAGTTGTGTAGCGTCACAGAGCGTCACAGAGTGTTGTTCCCTGCAGTAAACCATCTTTAATAATGCATAAATGTCAGAGCTTACTTTAATGTCACTGGTTTAATTTGTGTTTGTAAATCTCACGTCCCTCTGTCAGGATTAGTCTCCTACTCACTCACCATCTCCGCTGAAGTATCCAGCTCTCTCTCTCTCCTCTTTCTTTTCTCTCTCCTGTCTCTCCTCTTTCTTTCTCCTCAAATTTGTGGATAAAACTAAAATACAGATGGAACTTGGAAATGAGAATATTGTACAGACTCAGTTCAAAAGGGAAATGGGATGACCAGAGAGAGAGACCAGTGAGACGGACTAGAGAGAGGGGCCAAAGAGAGAGAGACAAGAGAGAGACCAGAGAGAGACCATTGTGGGAGACCATTGAGGGAGACCAGAGGGAGAGACCGGACAGAGAGAGAGACCAGAGAACCCCAGAGAGAGACCAGAGAGAGACCATTGTGGGAGACCATTGAGGGAGACCAGAGGGAGAGACCGGACAGAGAGAGAGACCAGAGAAACCCCAGAGAGAGACCATAGAGTTGTTAGCAGGTTCAATTCCACTTCTAGACCTTTCTGTGTGGAGTTTGCATGGTCTCCCTCTGTCTGCTCCAGTTTCCTCCAGGTGATCCAGGTTTCCCGTTCCACTAAAAGCATGTAGAATAATCTCCTGTAGCACACTGCCCCCTCCCTTGCCCCCTGTCTGGGAAAAATGAGATTCTGAAATCTCAGTGGGACTTTCCTGGTTACATAAAGGTCAATGAATACAATAGAACACAGAGTGAGATGTCAGGCCTTTTTATTTTAATAATGATAACAATGATCACAGCTGTAATAACCCAGGATACCGGTCTCTCACCGGTCTCTCACCGGTCTCTCTCTGGTCTCTCTCTGGTCTCACTCTCTCACTCTGGTCTCTTTCTTTGGTCCCTCTATTGTCTCTCACTGGTCTGTCTCTCTGGAGTCTCTGGTATTTCTGCTCTCCCTCAGGTCTCTCTCTAGTCTCTCTCTTGTCTCTCTATAGTCTATCTGTGCAATACACAATACAATACAATTTATTCTTGTATAGCCCTAAATCACAACAGAAGTCATCTCAGAGGACTTAACAAATCTGGGGTCTCTCTCTGTAAACCTGATCTTATCTCTCTCTGGTTTCTCTCTGGCCTATCTCTCTCTAAGTCTGTCTCTGTGGACTCTATCTGTTTTCTCTCTGGTCTAACTCCCTCTGATCTGATTTAGCTCCAGGTTTAGTCCTTTAGATCTGTTCAACCCAAGCCCCGGCGATCCAAGATGGCGCCCCATTCAAATGAATGGTTGTGCTCAGTGGCGCTTTGTGACGGCATGGGGGCTGAAAGATTTGCGGAAGTTGCCTGGAACTTGCAAAGATCTATGGGAAACTCGCCTGTATTTGGGCATCGTCTGGTCCTCCCGGTTCTGTGCAGTGGATGATCTCCCATGATGCGTTGCGCCAAACACGCGTGTGTGGGTCTCACACCAGGTCTCACGCACGTGCACCGGGTTGCTCGGCTGCGCTCTGACCAATCAGAGCAGTTCATCAGAGCGGGAGTTAGAGCGAGAGCCAGACGAGCAGAGTTTGTGGCACTAAAGTGTGGATTTAAAAAGAAAAAAAGTTCAGGATGACAAGGGACATTAAAATCCCCACAAAATCCGACCTTTATGAAAGCTGTTGGTTCACTGTCAGCTGAGGTCATGCTGTTTTAGTTTACATTGAGTTCTATGGGGAAAATGTCTGAGTAGCCCACATGAATTTAGTCTGGTTCAGTCTGCAGTACCGCGAGAATCCCCCGAGCACATGAGTTCTTCAGCTCCAAGCTAGTAATACCCTATCCAGTTAATATAATAGATCCATGGTTCATCCCCAGTCCGATCTCTAATCCTCCCCATCTCTAACTTCCTGCTGTCGTTCCCGTTTGCAGAAAGACACGTTGGAGCAGTTCAAATGCGGCGCAGACTTCCTGCCGTCTCCTCTGGCCAGCAAACCCAAGTACGCTCTGAAGGGTCACATGGTCCTCTCCAAAACAGAGCTGCTCACCGCCGTCTCTGTGGTTGTAGAGAACGACCACACCATCGCCTTCCTGGGCAACAGCAGAGGAGAGGTCTCTAAGGTGAGTGGGAAAGTTTGAGATTCACCAACAACAGATCAGAGAATCAAATCGTTCAAAGACAGGAAATGTAATAATGACATACACAGAAGAGCCATTGGTCCTTAGATCCAGGACTGAGGCTGGACTGAGGACTGAGGCTGTAGATCCAGGACTGAGGCTGTAGACCCAGGACTGAGGCTGTAGACCCAGGACTGAGGCAGTAGACCCAGGACTGAGGCAGTAGACCCAGGACTGAGGCTGTAGATCCAGGACTGAGGCTGTAGATCCAGGACTCAGGCTGTAGATCCAGGACTGAGGCTGTAGATCCAGGACTGAGGCTGTAGATCCAGGACTGAGGCTGTAGATCCAGGACTGAGGCTGTAGATCCAGGACTGAGGCTGTAGATCCAGGACTGAGGCTGTAGATCCGCCATGAAACAGACTTTATAATCACAGAATACCTCATGTTTTCTATGGTGCAATCAGATTTGTGTATTCAGAACTCGGCCTTTACCCGCCTCAGTCTTTTTGCTAAAGCAATTCAGTGCCAGCAACAACAGAAAAGTGTTTGTGACCCATGTTCAGGGTCGGGGGACTTTCTTTCACAGTGTTACAGAGACACGCCCAGCTCTGCTTCGATGGTCCGTGTGTGTCCTGTGTGTTGCTAGTCCTGTCTCTGAGCTGTTATTATGTTTGCTCCAGGTCCACCTCACCTCGACTCCGTACGAGTACAGCCAGGCCTTTTCTGATCCTCTGAGGGAGAGAGTCAACAAGAACCTGCTCTTCGACCTGAGCCAGAACCACCTCTACATCACCACAGAGAAGAAGGTGTGTGTGTGTGTGTGTGTGTGTGTGTGTGAGAGAGATTTTAGTTTAAATTATACTGGATTGAAAGCCAGAGTGTTCACTGATTGTGTTGCCAAATTCTCTTGATTTGTTCCTGGCGGCGCGGTTGCCTTTTCACAGATATATTTTAATGAAAGAACAAAAGAAAACATGATTAACAAGGGCAAGGCGGTGCTGGGAAAATGTTGATTGTTGTGGTCTCTCTCTGGTCTATCTCTGGTCTCTCTCTGGTCTATCTCTGGTCTCACTCTGGTCTCACTCTTGTCTCACTCTGGTCTCGCTCTGGTCTCACTCTGGTCTCGCTCTGGTCTCACTCTGGTCTCACTCTGGTCTCGCTCTGGTCTCACTCTGTTTTCCCTCTCTAGTCTCTCTCTCTCTAGTCTCTCTCTGGTCTCTCTCTTTGGTCTCTCTCTCTCTCTGGTCTCTCTCTAGTCTCTCTCTACTCTCTTTCTGGTCTATCTCTGGTCTCTCTCAAGTCGCTCACGTTCAGAAGTTTCTCCTGACCATTTCTTGTGTGTATCTCTGTGTTTTTGTGTGTGCCCCTGTGTGTGTCCCTGTGTGTGTCCCTGTGTGTGTCCCTATGTGTGTATGTTTTTGCAGATCACCAAGGTGCCGGTCCAAGAGTGCCTCAAACAAACCAACTGTCAATCATGTGTGGGACTGAGAGACCCGTACTGTGGCTGGTGTGTTCTGGAGGGAAGGTGAGGACCAGAAACCTCACCATTAATTACTCACTCATATTAGAAAACACAAAGTCCCTGTGCTCCTCTGAGTCCTAGCAGGAGGCCGGTCCCTGTTCTCCTCAGAGTCCCAGCAGGAGGCCGGTCCCTGTGCTCCTCAGAGTCCCAGCAGGAGGCCAGTCCCTGTGCTCCTCAGAGTCCCAGCAGGAGACCAGTCCCTGTGCTCATCAGAGTCCCAGCAGGAGGCCAGTCCCTGTGCTCCTCAGAGTCCCAGCAGGAGGCCCGTCCCTGTGCTCCTCAGAGTCCCAGCAGGAGGCCCGTCCCTGTGCTCCTCAGAGTCCCAGCAGGAGGCCCGTCCCTGTGCTCCTCAGAGTCCCAGCAGGAGGCCCGTCCCTGTGCTCCTCAGAGTCCCAGCAGGAGGCCTGTCCCTGTGCTCCTCAGAGTCCCAGCACTAACAAGTTACAGCAGGAGCACAGGGACTGCTCTCCTGCTGGTCCCAGAGTCAGGACTAAACATGTGGAGGCAGCATCTCGGATTGATGCTGCTTTTATCTGGAAAAGTCTTCCTGAAAAAATGAGACAGGCTTTTTCTGTGACAAAACGGTTCTGTTTCGCTGCAACAACTGAGGACTTCTGAAAGTTACAGACCCCAGCTTTAACCTTTGCACAGTACATGGCATAGATGTGATGTTTACTACTGTAGCCACTGAAACTGTGACTTTATTCAGTGAAATGGCAGTAGAATAAACAGTACATTCAAAAGTACTGCAATACTCGGCCTTAAGTGGAAGTACGCAGTATGTGCTAATGGCTTTTAAGTGCTGTAAAGTTATAAATAGTATAATTGACCAATTTAAAGAGAAAAGGCCTCAGCGCTGGAGTCCGGAACATAATCAGCGTCTCTGTTTGAATCCTCTCAGGATAATGGCTCTGATTCAGCTGGAGAAGATGGAGAAAAGCAGAATATATATCAGAATACACAACAACTGATGCATTTACCAGCTCCTCTCTGACTTCACTTCCTGTTAAACATTCAGGCAAACAAAACCTTTTCACTAAAATCAATAATAATGCAGGATTAGTCATTGATAACTGCTCAAGAACATAATTTTTTTTTTTTTTTTTGAAGTACTGGAAAGCCCTTCTACGTTTTCAGAATCTATTTTTCAGACAAATAGCCACGGATAAAGATGGGGAGATGGAAGTATGTCATTCAGTCAACTTCAGCTCCATCATGGCTACAGACCAGGCTTTACAATCATTTTTTGTATATGGGGTGATTTTTTATTTTTTATAATGGGCCAAATTTGTGTTCAATTTGTAGGATTTCTTTAGATTTTTGTGGGTAGGTGAATCTTTAAGAACAACACAGAGATTATTGGAAGTGCTTAATACTCTAAAGAACATTTTAAGTGCGCATTTACTTTTATTAGAAACATGTATTCGAAAAAAGTATTGTAATCCTTTGTGCTGTAATGAGTTGAAAGTTGTTATTGATATTGTAGAGTAACACACACACGCACACACACACACACACACACACACACTCCGGCCCCCTGCAGAGAGGCCTCATCAGAGCACATTTACCAGGTCTACTCCACAAATACTCAGCGTTTACAGCCATCGCTCTCTCTGCAGTCGTCCAACGCACTGGAATACATGATGCAAAGCGAGGTGCAATCACCCCCCCACCCCCATGGTGCCCCCCCATGGTGCCCCCCCATGCCCCCGCGCCCCCCCTCGCCCAATGCGTACCGCCGGCCTCTGATTGCCTCTGCTTTTAATTTACAGCTGTGTGTTTTTCACGGTGAGGTCGATGCCAAAGTGTCTCCTCCGGTTTCTCTCGGCGGAGGGAGAATAAGTGAATGTTGTAATTTATGGTTCTATTCCGTTACCGCTCTCCTCATCCCTCGTCCTGGTCATTGATCCAGACGCGGAGGCACACGAGGGGGTTGTTGTGGTCCGCTTCAGGCACCCGGGGCTCACACGGTCTCAGACGCCTGTGAAGAAGAGAAACTGGAACAGATTTTAGTCAATTCAATTTATTTGTGTATCGCCCTGAATCACAGCAGCAGAGGACTTCACAAAGTTACAGCAGTAATACAACTCTACTCTACTCTACTCTACTCTACTCTACTCTACTCTACTCTAGCCTACTCCACTCTACTCTACTCTACTCTACTCTACTCTACTCTACTCTACTCTACTCTACTCTACGCCACTCTACTCTACTCTACTCTACGCCACTCTACTCTACCCTACTCTACTCTACTCTACTCTACTCTACTCTACTCTACTCTACTCTACGCCACTCTACTCTACTCTACTCTACTCTACTCTACTCTACTCTACTCTACTCTACTCTACTCTACCCTACTCCACTCTACTCTACCCTACTCCACTCTACTCTACTCTACTCTACTCTACGCCACTCTACTCTACCCTACTCTACTCTACTCTACTCTACTCTACTCTACTCTACTCTACTCTACTCTACTCTACTCTACTCTACGCCACTCTACTCTACCCTACTCTACTCTACTCTACTCTACTCTACTCTACTCTACTCCACTCTATTCTACCCTACTCCACTCTACTCTACTCTACTCTACTCCACTTCTACTCTACTCTACTCTACTCTACTCTACTCTACTCTACTCTACTCTACTCTACTCTACCCTACTCTACTCTACTCTACTCTACTCTACTCTACTCTACTCTACTCTACCCTACTCCACTCTACTCTACTCTACTCTACTCTACTCCACTCTATTCTACCCTACTCCACTCTACTTTACTCTACTCTACTCTACTCTACCCTACTCTACTCTATTCTTTTGTACTCTACTCTACTCTACTCTACTCCACTCTATTCTACCCTACTCTACTCAACTCTATTCTTTTGTACTCTACTCTACTCTAATCTACTCTTTTCTGCTCTACTCTATTCTTCTCTACTCTATTCTTCTCTACTCTACTCTAGTGTTGGCCTTAATGCAGTAGAAGCCAATTTGAACGTGAGCTGGAACCAGATTTTGGAGCCCAAAATTATGATTGTTTCACTTTTATGATTGTTACTTTTACATGTAAATCAATAGGAACCAGAGACATAAACTTCATCCTTGAGCACTTGCCTGTTGATGCTTCGTTGAGCTAGCGTGTTAGCGTAGCCCCTGTGTGCAGAGTGTGTGTGACCTGAGGTTGTGTTGTGTCAGATGCACGCGCAGGTCGGAGTGTCGCCGGGCGGAGGAGAAGAACGGCTGGCTCTGGAGTCCCAGGCAGCAGTGCGTCAAGATCGTCTCCTTCTA